ACCATAACTCTTCACCCCTCAGGCTGGTAACCCAGAGTATGTGTTCTACACCATTTCCCAGAGTTCCTCGGTGGGATTAAGCTTTGATTACCCATAGCTGTAACTAGTTCAGTAATTCACCCTTTGTTGCTCCTGCCCTTCTCTCTCTCTTCCCCACCCCTTATCAGGTTTCCTGGGATCACTTAGCAAATAAGCTACTTGCCTTAGGATCATTGTCTCAGGGTCTACTTCTGGGGGAACCCAAACTAAGATCCTTGGTCTTCCCACTTCCACTCTCACCCCTCACCAACTCATTCTCCACCTCAAAAGCTGGGCTATCTTTTTAAACTATTGCTGTGACTTTATCACTTCTTAATTAAAACCTTTCAGTGATATCCCACTGCTCTTAGAATAAAGACCATCCTTGGGCTGGCCAGTTAGCTCAGCTGGTTAGAGCATAATCTTATATTGCCAAGGTCACAGGTTTCGTTCCCTATACTGGCCAGCCACCAAAAAAAAAGAAACTGTCCAATACTTTAGTTTTGAGGTTTTTTGATGTTAGTTCCAAAGAATGTTTTACTACCTGAGTCCCTTTGAGACATTCTAGAGACCGTGCCATCACTCAGAAGTACTACACCTCAAAAATCTTAAATTCCAATATCCCACACCTGACCACAGTCTTCAATGTTTATACAAACCCTAGTATCCTGCCTGCGCTAATAACTCCAGTCCCTCTGGCATTTTTCTCCCACATGGCAAACTCATGGCTTTGCAGGCTCCCTGCACCTAAACCTACAGCAATGTCATTTCTACTGATCTCTTATTGGCACTCAACTTGGCTGGCCTTCTTTCCTAGTAGTATTAGCTTGGGAACTGTCAGCCCTGATATTTTGATAATCTGCTTCTGCTCCTACACCCAGCCTGGAAGCAAATGTAACAGGTGAGCTGCTCAGAATTTAAAATTTGCGTGGTGAGGTCTTTCCCTCCTTCCCAGGAGGATAGACCCACAAATAAGCAGTCCCTAATCTCAAACAGATTCTTAATAGCACTCAATAATTTTTTTATATGGCTATTACTTTCATAGGAAATTCTAAACCTTCATCGCTCTCCAGCTTCCTGCATTTGCTTACTCTCAGCAGATTACCTTGGGTCTGAATTTGCAGAGAAACAAATTTATCCAAACCTTAACTCTTTCACTCCTGTACAAAGTCTGTCCTCCACCTATGCTCCAAAGCCTAAACCTGCCTCCCTTGAGACTGTACCTGAATCCAAGTCCTTACATAATCAATACCTAGGCCAATTTCCCAGCCTTACCTCCTGCCTCTCCTCCAGCTGCATCCTGCCTGCAGTTCTGGGAACTCTGTCTGGAGAGGATCTGGAGCCCAATGCGGTAGATCAGATCCAGTAAGGTCACCCGCTGGGAGCAGATCCCAGGAAAGAGTCTCTTGAACAAGGCTGAATTCCTGTTTCCAGAAATGCTATCATAACAAGGACCCTGCCAAGGAGGAGAACCCAAGCCATAAAGCATGAAATGAAGTTGAAAAGTCATGAGCCAAAGATTCCAATAAATTTATTTCCCAATAAATGAGTAGGCCCAATTAGGAGAGCAAGAGCAAATAGGAGGTAGAAAGGGGCCAACATGCAGGAAACAGACATGGAGCAAGATGTGAGTTAGGTTCAGGGTAATGCTCCTACTCTTGATCAGCTGACTCCCTCATGTCATTCCAGTCTCATTAAATGTCACCTACAGAGAGACCTTTCTGGACTGCCCCATCTAAAGTAGCCACTTAGTCACTCATATTTCCATGGTTTAATGCTCTGCATAGTACTATAGTGCTAGCTGATGTTTCTCTTCTTTATGTGTTTTTTTGGGGGTTACTGTCCTTCTCTCCCTACGAGAATGTCAGCTCCATGAGAACACAGTTCTTACTCTGTATCCTCAGTGGAAAGAATAGTGCTTCAAATACAGTAAATATTGGATGAATAAATTAAATCTCAAAAACAGCACTGTTTTTAAAGATCTCCAGTTGATTCTGACTTCAGCCAGGCTGGTAACCACTGGGCTCATAACTGCATTGTTCCCACTATGCTGGCATCTGGAGGATGTTGAGAAGGACTTTGAAAAACACAGAAACAGCCAGACAAATGAAGCCCTGCCTCTTTGGCTATGCCTTTAGTGATTCTGACTTCAGCCAGACTGGTAACCACTGGGCTCATAACTGCATTGTTCCCACTATGCTGGCATCTGGAGGATGTTGAGAAGTGACTTTGAAAAACACAGAAACAGCCAGACAAATGAAGCCCTGCCTCTTTGGCTATGCCTTTAGCCCTGCTATTTCCAAGGCCTAGAATATGATCTTCCCAACATTCCTAAGCTATTCTGTTCAGGTATCATCTTTTAAAATAACTATAAGCATTAAGGGCAATTTTTTTTGAATTATTTGTTTTCACCAGTCTCAAACACTGTTTGGCATACAAAGATACTCAATAAATTTCTTGAATTGCACTGCACAGAGATTTGCTCCAGCCCACTGGGCTTCCTGGTGTTCTCTGCTACAACTTACATATGAGGGTACTTCAAAAAGTCTGTGGAAAAATAGAATTAAAAGATAATATGGGGCTGGCCAGTTAGTTCTGTTGGTTAGAGCATGGTGCTGATAACACCAAGGTCCAGGATTCAGTCCCTATACCAGCCAGCTGCCAAAAAAAAAAAAAAGGAAAGCTAATACAAATCTTCCATGAACTTTTTGAAGTACCCTTGTAATATTAATATTAGCTATCATTTACTTAATACTTACCATGTGCCTGGTAGTATGTTAAGCCTATAGAATCTCATTTAATCCCCACAAGGATACTTCGAGACTTGTGTTATTTTTAAACTAAAAAGGAGGAAACTGAGACTCAGAGGGGTTATATATATGATAAGTAGCATAGTTTGGATTTATATCTAGGGTTTTGTTTTCTATCCTAAACCACCTTGTGCAATCAATATAGTGCCCACAAGCAGTGCATCAGTATTTTTAGTGTACATTATGTCTGCCTTAACTCCTTTATTAACTAATAATGGGATATGGGACAAATTTTTAAATATCTCTAAGGGTCTTCTTAGTCTCTTCACCCATAGAATGGGAGTTAGATGAAATTAACTCCTTAGTCTCTTCCAGCTCTAAAAATTATATGCATCTATAAGTTCCCAGCCTTTCAAGCATTTGATTCAGAACACCATCTGCTTCTGCATTTCTGTGTACTCTGTTTCATACTGTGGTTACATCAAAACAATATAAAATAGTTTCAATTTCCATGAGTTCTTTTCTTGAAACCACCTGACAATTTGAAATATGAAAAGCAAACTGAATGGAGCCACATCACCAAAGCCACAGAAGAGAAGTTACTTTCTCAAACAGTCTGTATATTTCCTAACAGTTAATATCATTGGTTTAATTCCCTATGGGCAGAAAATACTAATGAGAGTATTTCTGAGAAGTGTTATGGAAGAATTAAATTTTAGGCTGTCTAATGGTGGTACCAGCCCTAGTGCATGTTTTGGGGGGGAAATTAAATAAAAGTTCCTAATATATTTATTTGTGAATTAAATTTTGCTAATTGTAGAATTAAGAAATATAGAGTTGGGGAGAAGAGAAAGAATCTGGTCCAAATTTCTTTTTTTACTGATGAGATAACATAGGAAAGAGCCTATGTTCTTGGCGTAAACCTACTGTGATTCATTTAACCTCCCTGTGTCTCAGTTTGCTATTCAGAATTAGTGGGTTCGGACCAAATAATATCTCAAGTTGCTTCTGGATCTGTGAATAAACCCAAAAAGTATGAAAACCTAGCAAGAAATCTCTTTTGAAATGCTATAGCAAGTTTGAAAACTCATCCTTAACCACAAAGAAGATCAGTTCTTAGGTTGAAATTCACCTGCATGAATGAGTTAAGAACTAAAATTTAAGCCTATTTTTAATAAGACTACAGTCTAGCAGTGAAAGCTTTAAAATTCTAAGTCTAACCCAGACTCAATAACGGTTTTGATTCCCCCAGCTCTTCACCACTGAAGCTAGGCAGTGGTTTTGATGTATTTTCTCCACTGGAGGTGAAGAAATGAAGAGAAATGCATGCAGGAAAGAAATCAGGACACTGAGGTCAGCACAGAAGTGGATCCAAAAACATTTCAGAAATGGGTTAGAGAGAGGAAAATAGAAAATGCAGGACTCAGTCAGTAATGGCTCATAAATGCAGTACCTGGGTTGTAAGATTTCTTATAATGAGATCATCTTCTAGGATATGGTAACCAACTCTATGTTTTCTCCAACCATTCTCAACAATTGTACAAATACAGACCATTCTGCCTGTCATTCTTCATCTTTCCAAACTAAATAACATAAATCTTTGACCTGTCCTCATACATTCCATTTCAATGTGAAACTCAGTGTTTAAGTTTTTCTTTCTATTCATTTTCTCTCCAGCAAAATTAGGTAGCTCAATTCCAGGTTCTATTTTTGTCCATGCCTGATTTTTACCCCCTCCCTGTGTACCCGACACCATCCGTCCATATGCTAATAAACACTCTACAGTTGAGGCAGAGTGGGTGCCTGGTGAGATGACCAAATATGAGAAGATAATTTTTAGTCAGTGTTTTAAGAATACATATATATGTGTGTAAAAATATGGAATGCATCACAAATTTGCATGTCTTCCTTCTGCAGAGCCTATGCTAACCTTCTCTGTATTGTTCCAATTTTAGTACATGTGCTGCTGAATCAAGAACTGCTTATGGTATTTTTAAATTCTCCTCTTAAAAAGGGGAAATGATTTGAAGTACTCATCTCTCTACTTCCACCTCTACAGTGGTACATTCCACTGAAAAAGGAACAAGGAAGAGTATGAAGACCTCACAGAATATTTAAATAGTAGGTCCAAGGTTGGAGAATCGCATCAGCCAGAAGAAAGGCAAATGAAACGAAGGCAAAGTGTCACTGATTTTTGCCTCTGTCCCTAGAGAGAAGATTGCTGATATAGAGTCACTTTGTCCTGCTCAAGACCGTCTGGCATGAAGATGTAGCTCTGAGGTAAGAGTCCTTGAGCCAGCAGGTTTCTCCCAGTGCCATCATCTGCAGGCTTACTCCAGATCAGCTTCCTGAGGTTCCTGTGGCCCTTCCCCACAACAGCAGCACAGTGTCACCAGGTGGAGGTGGGGTCTTCCTGAAAGCTGCTTGTGCCAAAGGTATCATTACATCAAAGCCTCAAAATACCTCTAAATCTGAGAGCTCTGACCGAGTCGATGGACATTTAGATTTTTTCAGAAATCCCTAGAGGTACTCTAGAATTCAATACAGATGCTTTGGGAGGGAAAGAAAAGTAGTCTGCAGCATTAAAAGGGAAAAATGAGGATTTTTCTGGCCTTAATTTAACAAGTGGAGCAAAATAATAGGTAAAAATTATTGAGTGCTTACTATGTGCCATGAAGGGAGCTAAGAAATTTGTATACATTATCTCATTTGGTCCTCATAAAAAATCACAGGAGTTTAGAAGGCGAAAAAGGCTTAGAGAGTTAAGAGTCTTAAGGTCACAGAGCTGGTAAATGGTAGAGGTGGGATCCAAACCCAGGCCTGTGGGATGACAGAACCTGAACTCTGCCCCCAATAATCTATACTGAAGCACTTTTAAACCATTTAAAAAGATGTTTAAGGATAGAGAATCCTCTGTAATCCCGGTTATATACAATAAATCAAAGTTCCTAGGAAGCTTTTTATAATATTCAGAACCCCCACCGACACTGATCAGAAAAGTTTTACTTTGATTTTGCTCAAGTCCTACATTACTTTCAGATGCCCTTCTAGAACTCAGCCACACAATTTTTTAAAATCTTCTCTATAATTCAGGCACCCAGTTTCTCATATGAGCATATACAAAATAGACCACACACATAGAACACAGACACACAATCACACATACACACATTCTAAGAGAAACACATGAAGACCACAGACACACACATACAGACACCACACAGTACACACACAGCAATCACACAAACACACCACGGATACACATACACAGAGTTCCACGCACGTACCCCATGAATAAAAACACATACCACAGAGACACATAGACTGTATACCCACATACATACACACAAATGCACCACAGATACACAGAGAAACCGCAGTCACATCTGCAGACACACACACGGACTACACACACACAGTATGGGAAATTCTCCAGGGGATTTCATTTCTCCTCATGTACCCACGCCCCAGTATCCATTCAGTTTTCACCACATTCATCATCTCATTCACATCTCACCTCCTGCTGCTGGTCTGTTCTCTCCATCCCACTCCATCCCAAATAGAGAATACAAGCTCTTTTCCTTCAATTCCCCAGAACCACCACCAACACGAGACAGTTGTGGGTTAATGAGGAGAAGAGACATTAAAANGGGATGACAGAACCTGAACTCTGCCCCCAATAATCTATACTGAAGCACTTTTAAACCATTTAAAAAGATGTTTAAGGATAGAGAATCCTCTGTAATCCCGGTTATATACAATAAATCAAAGTTCCTAGGAAGCTTTTTATAATATTCAGAACCCCCACCGACACTGATCAGAAAAGTTTTACTTTGATTTTGCTCAAGTCCTACATTACTTTCAGATGCCCTTCTAGAACTCAGCCACACAATTTTTTAAAATCTTCTCTATAATTCAGGCACCCAGTTTCTCATATGAGCATATACAAAATAGACCACACACATAGAACACAGACACACAATCACACATACACACATTCTAAGAGAAACACATGAAGACCACAGACACACACATACAGACACCACACAGTAAAAGTAGTCTGCAGCATTAAAAGGGAAAAATGAGGATTTTTCTGGCCTTAATTTAACAAGTGGAGCAAAATAATAGGTAAAAATTATTGAGTGCTTACTATGTGCCATGAAGGGAGCTAAGAAATTTGTATACATTATCTCATTTGGTCCTCATAAAAAATCACAGGAGTTTAGAAGGCGAAAAAGGCTTAGAGAGTTAAGAGTCTTAAGGTCACAGAGCTGGTAAATGGTAGAGGTGGGATCCAAACCCAGGCCTGTGGGATGACAGAACCTGAACTCTGCCCCCAATAATCTATACTGAAGCACTTTTAAACCATTTTAAAAGACACAATCACACATACACACATTCTAAGAGAAACACATGAAGACCATAGACACACACATACAGACACCACACAGCACACACACAGCAATCACACAAACACACCACGGATACACATACACAGAGTTCCACGCACGTACCCCATGAATAAAAACACATACCACAGAGACACATAGACTGTATACCCACATACATACACACAAATGCACCACAGATACACAGAGAAACCGCAGTCACATCTGCAGACACACACACGGACTACACACACACAGTATGGGAAATTCTCCAGGGGATTTCATTTCTCCTCATGTACCCACGCCCCAGTATCCATTCAGTTTTCACCACATTCATCATCTCATTCACATCTCACCTCCTGCTGCTGGTCTGTTCTCTCCATCCCACTCCATCCCAAATAGAGAATACAAGCTCTTTTCCTTCAATTCCCCAGAACCACCACCAACACGAGACAGTTGTGGGTTAATGAGGAGAAGAGACATTAAAAATTGATTAAAACTGAATATTACACATTCGTATTTTTAAATCCCCTGTGTCGTTTCTGTTTCTCAGAATATCTCATTGACCCGTTCAGGCCTCCTAACCTCCTACCAGATTTTTCCTGTCCGCTCTCTTCTACAGCTCATACAGCCTCTTTCTCAAGCTCTCACTCCTTCACTCACCATAGCCTGTCCACTCCATATCCTTCAGACTCCACTTTTTGTTCCCAAGGCAGACTACTAAGGTATTTTCTTGAAGAGAACTATTTTTCTACTTCAGATAAAAATTTTGCAACTTCCTTAGAAGGCAGAATTAACTTAAGGCAGTTGTAGTTTTAAATAGCAGTCGTTTTATGTCTTCTCTCTATGTATTCCCAGAATGTTTTTGCTTAGTGAAAAAAAAAAAGCATCATTACCAATATCCTCTGGTTTATCCAATTTATCAAAAACCAATTTGTTGATACTGTGACTCTGTTACAATAGCTATTTTCAAAAACATTCTCAGGTTTATATTTTTGATACTATAGGAACCATTATGCAGGAATTTGGATATTTTAGATAATCAAATACTCTGATTCATGGAGTATCAAAAACATTACCTATGAATTACCAATTTTCAAAGAAGTAATATAAAACAGCTGTAGGGTTCCCCACCTACCACAATGGAGGCATGGTGGGAGATGTTGATGGAGAAGACATTTAGCCCTTCTAACCCTCACTTTCTCCTCTTTTTAAAGATTTGCCTCGTAGGATTTGTGAGGGAAAAAAGAAATGATTTTTATAGAAAGTTCCGGGCATGTAACAAATATTGGATAAATGTGAGTTCCTTGACTTATTTCCCTCTTCTTCCCTCCCCAGGTAAGAAAGAACTACTGTTCCAGTATATCCTACAAAATACTTTCCTCTTTCATTGATTCTGAAGTCATTTCACAATCATGCAGTGCCTTAGGGCTCCCATATGAATCTCAGTTCTTATGTTATGTGCTGAATATTAGAATACTAGGTAATAGTGTTTATTATACATAGTTACCTCAAGAGAGAAATCTAATTATAGCATCCCATGATTACTAATTTGTAACAGTTGCTGTTATTTTCGTTATTCAAGTTCATTAGCAATATTTTCCCTGACCAAGTCTTAGTCAAGTAAAACTGATTCTACATTGCCTTATTCAAGAAGTTGTGCCTATCAAGAAGGGTCCGGCTTCTGGTTAATGTCCAAATAGAAGATTTTTAGCTACATAAGTTAATTACCTAATTGTCAAAATGCCCCAACTTTTATTTCTCTTTCACATTTATTTAATTTCATCTGTAGCATTTCTAGTTTTGGTGTTCAGATTAATCCTCATACAACATAAAATATAGAACTTAGAAAAATATTTGATTTGTATTATTCTAGAAACATTATGTTTGCCACTGTTAAAATATTATCCTGGGTACTATTACTATGCAAAAATTACTATCTTAATTTCTACATTTAATCTTTTATTTTTTTATGTTATTTTCAGTTTCTCATTCCACAGGTGATTATGGATCTGAACAACTCTACTGATTACCTGACCAATGTTTCTACTTTAGTAAGAAGCAGCACTCACCTTCTAACTCCTGCCTCAAAAATGATCATTGCCCTTCCTTTATTCATGTCATTTGTAATTGGTACCATCATCAATGGCCTCTATCTATGGGTGCTAAAATTCAAGATGAAAAAGACTGTCAATACTCACTTATATTTTCATCTCATTCTTTCATATTTTATTTCAACATTGATTCTGCCATTTAAAGCTGCCACTTATCTTCAGGACAATCATTGGACCTTTGGAACTGCCTTGTGCAAGGTCTTCAATAGCACTTTGTCACTGGGGATGTTTGCCTCTGTTTTCTTCCTCTCAGCCATCAGTCTTGATCGTTATCTTCTCACCCTTCACCCAGTGTGGTCCCAGCAGCACCGAACCCCACGCTGGGCTTCCAGCATCATCCTGGGAGTCTGGATCTCTGCCACTGCCCTCAGCATACCCTATTTGATTTTCAGGGAGATACATCATGACCATAAAGGAAGGGTGATCTGCCAAAATAACTATGCTGTGTCTCCCAACTGGGAAAGAAAGGAGATGCAAAAATTAAGGCAATGGATTCATGTAGCCTGTTTCATTGGCCGCTTCTTGCTGGGCTTCCTTCTGCCTTTCTTCGTCATTACCTTTTGTTACAAAAGAATAGCCAGCAAGTTGAAAGAGAAGGGCCTGTTTAAATACAGCAAGCCCTTCAAAGTCATGATGACTGCCATTATTTCTTTCTTTGTGTGTTGGATGCCCTACCATGTATACCAGGGCTTACTTCTCATGAAGAACCAGTCACTACTTTCAGATTTGACTATGATACTAACAGTGCTAACCATTTCTTTTAATACTGTCTTTTCTCCCACATTCTACCTGTTTATTGGGGAGAACTTCAAAAAGGTTTTCAAAAAGTCCATTCTTGCTCTGTTTGAGTCAACATTCAGTGACGATTCTTCTGCAGAAAGGACACAAAACCTAAATTCAGGAGCCCAAATTTAAATTCTGGATCCTTAAGCAAACATGGACTCTGTCAATTATACCACTAGAGATACACCCTCTGCTTTTGTATACTGTAGTCCCTATATTAGAAAGACATCTAGGGTGTACTATAGTTAGATCTATGAATATTAAAAGAGTTATAAGAAAACAAGCAACAGGTCCTGTTGCAAATGTGACTTTTTAAATTCTGTTTTTATTGTGGTAAAATATATGTAACATAAACTTTGCTATTTTCACCGTCGTTAGTATATATTTCAGTGGCATTAATTATATTCACGATGTTGTGCAATCATCACCACTATTTCCAAAATTTTTCATCATTTCAAAGAGAAACTCTGTAGCCGTTAAGTATTAACTCCCC